AAAAAAAATCAAATGCCTTTCAAAAATTCTATTAAATATTTAATTGCATAATTTGTAATTTACAAGTAAATGTCACCACATATGTACATATTTTTAATTTGAAAAACAATTGTCATGTAAGCAAAACAAAAATAGAAAAATAAATAATTATTTAAGTATTGTTTTAGTTTTCAATGTCATTGATAAAATTTACAAACAAAGTGTATTTTTAGTTTACTCGCCCAAGAAAGACATAAAACCATTTAGCAGCCTTTTAAAAGAATTAAAATTAAATACAAAAGAAATTAAAAGTAAATTGGAAAATGAGTTTTTTTATTACCACAATTTTCTCAAGCCCCTTCGTAAGAAGAGTATGATTTCAATAAGTGGATGGACGGACAAGGATAGATTGTTTTAGAATCTAATAACAAAAATATAAGCATCCCAACAAAATCAGTTAGTTAAAAAGCTGATAACGTTCGCTTACAAATAGTGAGTTAAATAAGTTATTACTACGATCGCGTAGAAATAGTTAGCAACCGTTGCGAACTTTTATTTTTTAGTCCACCCTTGTACTGCTTAGTTGCCCAATTGTTTGACAAAAAGTTAATACACACATACAGACATGTGTAAATAAATGGGCAAAGCTCGTAAGCAGTGCATACAATTATGATTATATGTAAGTCATAAGCAAACTACTTAAAAATAATGCAGATGGTATGAAGTAGACATTGATAAGTAAATTTTTGAGCAAGAATAAGTCATTAACAAGTTTTTGTGAGCACCCTAATCTTAGTATTAAAAACAAGTAAGAAATTATAGTCGGGCGAGGCCGACCATATAATACCCTACACCTTTGACAAAAATATAATGTGATTTAGTTGCCATAATAAAGCATTTCAGTTGAATTGTACCTTGCCTTAGATATACATACTTAAGCCGTTTATTGTTGAATAAAATTGTGGACATTTAAGTGAAATTTTGATGGGGGCTTTTCATAGGAGCTAGGGTCATATGAGAACCTATTATTATGGAATTCGTGAGGGTCATCAAGTCTGTATACAACTTGGTTTTTGCAGCTTTTTGTCGAGATATGAGTATATTAAACATAATTATGAATTTAAAAGCGCTATTCGGCGGGTTAAGTTGTATGGGGGCTAGGTGAAATAATGGACCGATGTAAACCATTTTCAACAGACTTCGTCTACGGTACCATAAAAGATCATGTGCCAAATTTCATTGAATTATCTTAAAAATTGCGACCTGTAGTTTGATTACAAGGTTTACATGGACGGACGGACATAGCTAAATCGACTCAGAAAATTATTCTGAACTTTAAGGTGGGTATAGGACCAATATTATTGTGCGTTATAAACATCAGCACAAACCCAATATACCTTCCCCACTAAAGTGGTGTAGGGTATAACAATAAAAGTATAATTGGCTAAAATATATCTAATTTTCTATGAAGACCTTTTTAATAAGAATAAGTAAACTAACGTAAATGTTCCTCAATTATTTGCTCTATTTTATTAAATACCATAAATTCACTAGAATCTCATTTTGAAATATAATAATTAACCCCCGGTTTGCGGTTTGATTTAACTCTATATGACAAAAAGCCAAATATTCCACAATTAATAATAAAAATTAGAAAATGTTTATTACACTCATTGTTACTCATTTTAACAACTGCAATGCGTTAAAAAGAATTAAACAATGAAACAGTTTAGATTTAAATTAAAATAATAAAATAAAAAAAATAAAAACATTATAAATATAATAATAAAGTTTTATTAAATTATTATTTTAGCGTTAAAATAAAAGTATTAACCCTAATAAAATCTTTTAAAAGAAATATATTATTTAAATTTGAATAATAAAACTCAATTCAGAGTAAAATAGAAACAAGTAGGAAAGTATGTATAGTGGGATATATACGAGCATATGATACCTTACACCTATCAGGACAAGATTTAGATATATCAGAATATGGACCAATTTCTATGGATTTTATAAGATCAATTATATTAGTATAATAAAATGTATACATATATGACAAGCTCATGTCAAGTGACCCAAATCGAATTTGATGAAATTTGGGAAGTGTTAATACTACTTTGATCCCTCTAACTCCGGTAGTTCTTGACCGATAGAGCTGAAAATTTGTATCTGGCCCACTATCCAATAGTACTAACATTCCTGAAGACATCGATTTTAAAAGTTGGGTCACTTTATACGAAATTATCCATATATGAGTACAATTTCAGATGAAATCTTGAAATGGAATTGTGGATTGAACCAGGTATGGAAAATTTTAATATTGCATGAGTACTTTTTTAACGGTAAAGGTACTAAATAACTTTTCGGCATTTTTTGTATTGGCTAGTTCAAACGCAAGTCTGTAAACTGACCTACTTAGTCAGTGGTAGTATTTAAATTAGTCTGTGTACTAATCTATGGAATAGTATATTAGTTAGTATATTTAGTAGTCTATGAGTTAGTCTATGCACTAGTTGATCAGACTATAGGTCAGTCCATGTATTGACTAGACTGGAATTGACTAGTTAATTGTCTAATCTATTGACTCGTCTATAGACTATTCTATTAAATATTCTTTTGACTATTCTGTGGATTTGTCTGTTGACTATCTATTGTCTAGTTTATGGACTAGTCTGCAGTCTATCGTCGTTTGACTAGTCTATAAACTAATCTTTTATATAGCCCACGGAAATGTCTATGGATTGATCTATGGACTAGTATATAGACTAGTCCATGTACAAGTCTACGGACTGTTCTCTGGAATAGTCTATAATCTGGTCTATGGAATAGACTAATAAGTAGTCTATTGACTAGTCTAATGTCTAATCTATTGACTTGCCTTTAAACTAGTCAAATGACTAGCCTGTGGACTAATCCATTTTCTAGTCTATTGACTAATCCTACACAGAGGGAAAAAATATACACGCCTCGTACCAAATTGACACCAAATTTTTCAATACATCCTTTGTAAATCTAAAAGTTAACAAACGTGGTAAGATCACTATTTACAACGCATTTTGAGCTTACCACGTTTGTTAACTTTTAGACAACGGATGTACATAAAATTTAGATTGCGACAACGAATTGTTGCAATGTTGACAACGTTACGTAGTCAACATTACATGTTGTTGTTGTATGTATGTATATATATACTTGACAATTGATGTTATTGAAAAATTTGGTGTCAATTTGGTAACAGACGTGTATATATTATATAATCAATCCCAGCAAAAAAATAATTTTCAAAGAAGCGAAAAAGAAGTAGAATTTACTCCATGGAAGTACTACAAAAGACCTGAAAAAGTGATGATTTTAACACAGGCATGTCATATGAGGGATGTTATTTTTATTTGATTCCAAATTCACTACTTCTGAAGTCATTCTCAAGAAGTAATTGTAATGCTCTTTTTTTGGAAGTTTTTCGGTAGTGAAATTGCAGTATTATAGAATACAACTAATTTGATTTAAATAATATTAACATCAATTAGGGTAATATTATCAACATTGAAAAATTAGAATTATTTTCGCTTCTTAGGAAGTCTTTAAACATCACTTCCTCAGAGGGAAAAAAATCAATTAGTGCTACTTTTGAAGTGGTGATAAATGTCATTCTTTTGTAAGTACTTCATTTTATTTTTGCTGGGATGCGATAATGTATAGAGCTCATATTCATTATACGCACCGTAGTACTGTAGGGCACAAAATCATAAATACTGCTAAACTTGTATCGGGGGGAGGGGATGATTAAATAATTTATTCCGATTTTGTGTTTTAGAAGCAGATGATTCAATATCAAACATTTAGTATAGACTGGTTTTAAAATGTAAAAGCCGATTCTACTTAATATTAAGGACATCTGTTATGACAATTACCAGACCTGACCTATCACAGGGATTCTATAGTGAATAATATTAAATTTTAACCGTTTTTTGATATTTACCTTTATACGCTGCTAAAAATTAATAGATGTTTTTTCTATATAGACAAATAATCATATTGAAGTATTATCCATGATCCCCTTCCTCAAAAGAAATACATTTGCGATCACAAACCTTTAAATTTTCACCAAACTAAAAACACCCTAATATTTGTAACACAAATCTAGATTTCTTTATAAAAGTCTGATTTTTTTTTTTGTTCATTTTATAATTAAACACTTAATTAAATTTGTTTTCAAAAAACCAAAAATAAAGAGAAAAAAGTAAACAAAAATTAAATTTGGAATTTTTATACTTAATTTCAAAGTGCCACCTGCTAAACATGTTTTATTGATACATATTTCGGTGTCGATTTCGTATATATATATATATTTTTTTAATTTTTTGTTGTTTTCATTTAAAAATTCAATGGCCCAGTATTTATTTGTTTATTTAACTGTTTAGTATTGTTGAATTTTATTAAGTGTGAGTATTGAGTCAGTGGGTGAGTATGTCCGTCCATCTGTTCTATTGACATAATTGTTCAAATTTCTAGACAATAATTAAAAACAACTTCAACATCGTAGTAATCGTCATTATCATCATCATTATTATCACTATGACAAAACATCTGTTTTATTCTGAGTGAAAAATATATAGACAGACAATAGTAGTATTATCTGTCAGCAGCCTGTTCCTATGACTGTCTATCTGTTTGTCTATTCTATCTGTCTGTCTCTGCTCTTGTTTGTAGCCATATCTGTTAGCAGACAAAACTACACACATTCATCCAACCAACCATCCATCCATTCATTCATTTATACGCAAAGACAAATAAAATTTTATTTTTATTCCACTTAGACAGAGATTAAAAATAAATTACCTTGAATTTTGTAAATTTTAAGCAAATACAAGATTTTATAGCTTTTTTTTTTTTATTCGGAATGTTTGCTTTTATTTAGAATTAGAACAATTAGTATTTATCAAATTTGATAAATATCTCAGTCGAATATGAAAATAATTTAATTATATAGCCTAACTTTGTGGGATTTAAGTTTAATCATTAAATTTGAATCATAGCGTATAGTAGTGGAATAGAAAATAAAGTGAAAATTATCTTAATTAAGAGTGCCAAATAGTATTATCCAGAAGTATTTAAAATTTTACATTTTCTAAAAAAAAAAAAAGGATATTTACAGGTATTTATTAAATTACTGTATAAGACTTTGATACATGTAAATCAATCAATTAAGGATCTGTTTAGTTGTTTTCGAATTCATAGTAGAAAAATATGAAATTATTAATTACTTCAAACTATGTCAACATCTATAATATAGAGTTTAAAGCGTTGGCACGGAAAATTTTATCTTGTTTTTAAACAATATTTTTGTCGTTTTATTCATTTATTCATAGATCTATTTAAAGTTTTCTCTGACACAGTTTAAAAAATTTTCAAAAAATATATACATATTTCATTTGATTCATGAGTTTTTAATATTTGTTTAAGATTTTTTTTGCATTATTTTAAATAAATGTCTAACTGATTACAGACATTGGATGTTGAAAAAAGTGAAAATGTTCATTTTATTAATTTGTTAAAGTAATGAATATGAAACGAATTTTAAACGTTTATTTTATTATCATTTGTATGCGCTATACAGCAAAGGGCTGCATACTAATTTTTGAATGGATTGGAAACTAAAGGAAATATTCATAGGCAGGCATCACAAACTACAAACACTTTTAAAATAATTTTTAAGTGGACTTTAGGGATATGAATAATTCCAAACTATTTATCATGGTATATAAGTACAAAGTTTTTATTAGATTTCTATCAAATTGAATAAACTTAAATTTTATGGTTCAAAATTCGTTATCTCTCATACCACATATTCTCATCTATAGCGTACATAAACTTAAAAATGCAACGAAAAGCAATTAGTCAAAAAGGAAGCCATGTGCATCTTTTAAAAATGTCATTATGACAACTATAATAACTTGTAATAGTTTATGTAAAACTAAAACAAACACACAACACTTTGTAAAAAAGTCATAAAACAAATAAGAAAATGTGTTAAACTCAAAAATAATTGCAAATAAGTTAGCGCAAGTAAATCAGTAAGAATAGGAATGAAACACTGTTCTAAAGTTTAACAACTATTAATTTCAATGCGGGTTAAGTGAAAATGTATACGGGATTTCTTTGTGTTGTCTATTTTACAAAAATTAAATTGAATTAAATGTGAAAGTAATGTCAACTAAACAGACAAACTGAATAAAATGACATTTTGAAAAAAAAAAAAAAATGTAATTACAAGAGCTACTGTTGTTTAAACATGTATGAATGTTTTTATTTGGTTTAAAGGGACGACGGGTGATATGTGTATTTAGTGGATAAGAAGTGTGTATACAGTGGAAAAAAAAATTATTTTGAAAAATAGAACTGAACTGAACTAGAACTGAACTAGAACTGAACTAGAACTGAACTAGAACTGAACTAGAACTGAACTAGAACTGAAACTAGAACTGAACTAGAACTGAACTAGAACTGAACTAGAACTGAACTAGAACTGAACTAGAACTGAACTAGAACTGAACTAGAACTGAACTAGAACTGAACTAGAACTGAACTAGAACTGAACTAAATGAACAGACTGAACTCGAACTGAACTAGAACTGACTAGAAACTGAACTAGAACGGAACTAAACTGAACTAGAACTGAACTAGAACTGAACTAGAACTGAACTAGAACTGAACTAGAACTGAACTAGAACTGAACTAGAACTGAACTAAGAACTAAACTAGAACTAACTAGAACTGAACTAGAACTGAACTAGAACTGAAACTAGAACTGAACTAGACTGAACTAGAACTGAACTGAACTAGAACTAAACGAACTAGAACTGAACTAGAACTGAACTAAACTGAACTAGAACTGAACTAGAACTGAACTGAACTGAACTAGAACTGAACTAGAACTGAACTAGAACTGAACTAGAACTGAACTAGAACTGAACAGAACTGAAACTAGAACTGAACTAGAACGAACTAGAACTGACTAGGAACTGAACGAACTGAACTAGAACTGAACTAGAACTGAACTAGAACTGAACTAGAACTGAACTAGAACTGAACTAGAACTGAACTAGAACTGAACTAGAACTGAACTAGAACTGAACTAGAACTGAACTAGAACTGAACTAGAACTGAACTAGAACTGAACTAGAACTGAACTAGAACTGAACTAGAACTGAACTAGAACTGAACTAGAACTGAACTAGAACTGAACTAGAACTGAACTAGAACTGAACTAGAACTGAACTAGAACTGAACTAGAACTGAACTAGAACTGAACTAGAACTGAACTAGAACTGAACTAGAACTGAACTAGAACTGAACTAGAACTGAACTAGAACTGAACTAGAACTGAACTAGAACTGATCTAGAACTGAACTAGAACTGAACTAGAACTGAACTTGAACTGAACTAGAACTGAACTAGAACTGAACTAGAACTGAACTAGAACTGTTTTTGAATAAAGAAGTTTAATATCCTTAAATATCCTATTTCCTTTTTTTCTCTATAAAGCAATTTACAAATTATCTTTACTTTTACCACTTGCATCAATAATTTAGAATAACATGCCTTAATTACTGACAACAATTGTTTGTTATAGAGTTTATTAAATTAACTGTTTTCCTAATTAAATTTACAGAAAAAATAACAAAACAATACAATTTAATTGTTAAAATATTTTCATATTTTCCTTTGTTTATTTACAGATTTGCAAGTGTTTGTTTACAACTCCAAAAAAAAATAAAAAACAACAACTAAATGATGTTTTATATTAATAATTGATTTTTGTTTTGTGTATTTCAAAATAATAATAAACAACAAAGGCAGTTAATAAAAGGAAAACAGTTCGCATGTAAAACACATTTATTTAAGTACATTAAGTACGTTTTTTCGCGTTTAATTTACATTTCCATTACAACGCGTAGTGTCTTGCCAATAAACCTTGTCTGAGCGTGTGAGTGAATAAATAAATGATTCATTTGTTAAATAGTTTTTTTTTTTTTGTTAACGTTTTAAACTTGTGTAAATACTATTAAGAGATTTTTTTGCCTTTGGCTTTTGTTGTATTACAGTGTTATTAATTTACATATTCTGTTACCCTTTAATAATTAACCGTAATTCTAACAACTGTGCCACTTCCTGACTAAAGAAAGTAACAAAAAAAATACGTTAAGTTAATAATAACAAACATTTAACTAAAAGGAATTAAGAAAGAATATAACAAAGCAGAAGCTGTTACTATAGTAACCGAATTACAAGAAAAGTAAACAGCATCAACATCACATCAATATCAGAATCAACATTAAAACCTGCACAGATAGCAATTGTAGTAGCGTTAGTACGAATACCACCAACCTGCCAAGCAGTCGTAGGAGCCAAACAGCACGAGCTCAAAATTAAAAATTTACATAAATTAAATTATTAAATTAACAACAACAAACATTTACCCACGCTACTAAATACTACAAAAAGAACGCCTATTTTCGCAAACACTTTGGGTATAATAAAATTACTGGTAAGTGAATTTTTGGTATATTTAAATATTTTAATTTTTAATTCTTATTCACTCTCTAACACTAATGCAAACCAACTACATAAATAACATTCACGCATGCAGCATAAAAACACGATTTTATTACACACATCCCGTTAGTTAAATAAACACCTGATGTGTGTGTGTGTGTTTGTATGTAAGTGGGAATGTGTGAGTAAATGTTTACGTGCCAGGATTTGCCAGGCAGTTTTACAATGCGTCAATGTACTATGTCTTTTAGGCAGCATTTTTCTTAAATATTTGAAAAGAGTTTCGTTTATGATTATTTACTATACATAGGGTAACAGTAAAGATTGGATAAAACATGTTTGGGGACGATCACCCAAATCTGCAGGAATTTGTTACAAAATTATAAGTTTTCTTCTCCGTAATATTTAAAATTTGTTTAATGTTTTTAAATTTAAAAACTAAAAAATTTTAAATCCTTTAAATAAATTGTATTAAAATGATTTCGAAAATTAAGAAATGCATTATGAACTTGAATTAAGACAGTCCCTGCAATTTGGTTTTAATACATTTCGAAAAAATTGCAATAATTTAGTTATTTTTACCGTTGCTAAGTTCTGATTAACACATTGTTATCATATTCTGAGGCAATCTTGCCTTATCCCTCTGAACAACTGCCTGTTAAAAACACCTGTGTTTGATATTAAAAATGGTCAATATTGGTCAAAGATTTGCTTAGCCCCTTTACGTGGTGTCCACGGAAAACACTTTAAACATTCATATCCATCGTTGATCGTGCTGCAATCATAATTATCCAGGAATTACACTGAACATCTTTGTACCATCTTATAGAAAATCATAATTCCAAATATTGGGAGTATAACTAAAAAATGTAGTATTCTTTAAATCAAAACACATGGATTCCGGACCAAAAAAACTGCTCACCATTTGTGGCAAAGAACGTATCAAGACAGTTTTAGACACACTTTTTGGAGTAAAGTGTATTCCAGAGAGAGCTTTCTGTATCAAACAAATTGCAGTCGGACGTCACAGGATCGAAACTATAAGGCGGTCGAGGCAAAACTTCATAACTACATCTTCTAAATATTTCTTAAAAGTTACTGCAACATTAGACCGAGATTTTTTATGGTGGAATAGTACGCTTTTATGTCTAGCTGTATATTCTGGGCGTTTATCGGATATTGCATCTTCGAAAGAATCAGTTATATTCAGTACAGCTTCCTTTGGCTTACTGCGATGTCTTTTCTTTTATAGCGTTCAAATAGCATTTGCGATATATGGTACCCAATTTTCCTTCTCTTAAATGAAACCTTCAGCTCGCAAACATTTTGAAATTGCTAATTGAGTAGCTCTCAATGATTTGTCGATCCCTTGATGAATTTGCCAATAACCTCCAAGGAGTAATGCCACTACTGAACCTCACAACCGATCTGTAGCACATTAAAACCGATGGAACACATCTAATACAAGCAATCGGTGTGCTGTTTTAGAACTTTTTAGCAAATAAATCAAGTGAAGCTTTAGAGCTACATTAAATAGTCGGATGCTGAATATATAAGAATCGGCACTTCCAAATATAACTTGATTTTTTCAAAAACTCATAATATTCGTCGTAATATTAGAAATTTGAGACCGTTTAAGAAAATATGCGAAATTTTTAAATCCCCGGGTCCCATAACTTCTTATGGACCGTGAAAAGAGATAGAAAATGTCAACCACACAGTTACTCTAACTTGCTTTCAACAGACAGACGATGGAGGTCAACCGGTGATATACATATATGTGCAATTTCGTGCTTTTAAAATCGATGTCTTCGATTTTCAGCTCTATTGGTCATGAACTGCCGGACTTAGAGGGGGTCAAAGTTGAACATTTTGGTCAGAGTTTTATTCAAATGAGTGTAACTTTTCACCTATTGGTTCTAGCAAAAATTGTCCAAAGGAGTTCAGATAGCTATTTCTTCATTGCTTCCAAAAAATATATTTTCACAAAATTTTTAATTTCCTCTTTAAAGCACATGTTTTTACTCACTTAAAGTTGCATTTAAAGAATTCTTCTTTCAATTATGAAATTTTTGAAATTTACAAAAATCTCCTATCTTAAGAGATACATATTTCAGTATGATTGCAACTATTTTTAAATAAGACTAAATTATATTTATTTGTTAACATTAAGCTTTTGCTGTCAAAGTTTTACCTTTTTTACCTTCACATTTATTCTAACTTTTTGTGAATAAATGAATGCATAATTTTTTATATAAAAACATGAATATAACCGGACATATTCGACCATATGTCACCTAACATGGTTTTCAAAAAAATTAGGTTGTTATGTACCGATACTGAACTCGATTGAAAGCCTTTTATAGAAGTTAGGTTTTCTAGTGGACTTATCCTATCAGAATTTCGCAAAACCAATAATATTATGAGATCTATGAGCATTGTAGTATTTTTCAGATAAAGTGCGATTTATATCAAATATGTCCCGATTTTCATAAAATTTCATAAATGGATTAATTTAACTATGGATTTTTGGGTTTTAGAATTCTTCGCTCTACTCGTATTTTTAGCTCAATTATGAACGTTATTTTTTTATTGGGATCTTATAATTAGGGTTCTATAGTTGAAATGAAAAGTTGACTTTTTGCATTCAGTTAAAAGTCGACTTTTCGACTTTTTGCATTTTATGAAAAGTAGATTTTTCGACTTTTTTTATTTAATTAAAAGTCGACTTTTAGTATTTTATAAATCGAGTATTTTATAACTTCGACTTTTTCCGACTTTTTTCGACTTTTTCCGATTTTTTTCGACTTTTCGATTTTTTTCGACTTTCAGACTATTTTCGACTTCTTTCGATTTTTTTCAATTATTTTTTGACTTTTTTCGAGTTTTTCCGACTATTTTAGAGTTTTTCACTTTTTTCCACTTTTTTCCACTTTTTTAAAATTTTCGACTATTTTTCACTTTTTTCTACTATTTTCGAGTTTTCGACTTTTTCCGACTTTTCGACTTTTTACGGCTTTTCGACTTTCTTAGACTTTTTGACATTTTTCGACTTATCGACTTTTTTTGACTTTTTGACTCTTTTCGACTTTTATTTACAAAGTCGACTTTTCGACTTTTTTCATAGACTATAGTCGAGTTATCGACTTTTTTGAAACAAAATAGTCGACTTCGACTTTTTTCGACAAAAAGTCGATTGTTCGATTATTCGAAAGTCGATTTATAGAACCCTACTTATAATGGACTAGGTTTAATGTGTTTTGTGTGTATTGCGTGACCATAACATTGAGATGTTACAAACCTCAGCGCACACGTTTATTATTCTCCCCACTGTAGTAGGGTTACTACAACATTTGAAATAAACTGTATGTTTGTTTGTACATTTGAAATTTTATGATTTTAGCAGTTTATTAAAAGCATTTCATATACAATTTACATTTTTTCCTCTTTCATTTACATACAACTTTAGCGCATCAAATAAAAAAAAGCAACAACAAGAAGACACTAATTTATTATACTCTTTACTCTAGTTTACTTTATACTAAATATAAGACTACTTAAGTTTAGACGAAAAAAAAAATTACAGTAAAAAATGAAATTATATTTTTAAATATTCACAAAATGTACAACAAGCTCAAAGAACATAGAAGAATAAAAAAAATAAAGCCTAGAATATAAAGAATCTTTTTAACATAAATGTCAGTAGGTTTTCGTATGGTCTGTCTGTACATGTATATGGATGCATGGATAAGTTACAGTGATGGTTTTGCAGTAGAAAAAAAAATTTAAATAAATTCCAAAAAAAAAAAAATATTTATATAAATTAAACATTTTTATACATATCCTATGGCCTCTCACGGTCTTTCTAAGGCGCCCTGTAATGTTGATGTAGGTTAGAGAAAACAAAACAAAAAAGGAAACGGAAAAAGGTTTTTTATATACAGTAACAAAAATTAAAAGGTTTTAATAACGCTAAATATAAATAATGGCAATTTGTTTAGAACTTCTTAATAAAGGTAACAGGAGAAGTTTCATTAACCGCACTGCAAAGTAATAGGGGAATGAGGTTAAAAAAGGTTTTTGTAATCCATTTACGGAAATATGTAAAAAAAAGTATAAAGTTATGTTAAGGGTAACTTTTTTTGAATACTAACATTTTTGGTTCCCTGGTGTATAAGAATTTTTTTGAAAAAGTTGGTTTGTTAAAGATTTTTTAAATTTTTAATAAGTGTGTTGTCAATCAAAATTTTCGTATGATTTATGTACGCTTGTACTAAATTTTTTTATATGCTAATTATACTTTTTACTTTTTTTGCCACATAGATTTCTGAGTGATCATGTGTTATTCTTTTAAAATATTTCAATGACACTAAAAGGTTATAGGAACATGTAACAAAAAGTATTATTCGATTAATTAATTATTGAATGTTAAAGTAATTTATCCAACGGGTCCTTAAACGAGACCTTTACTGTATAAATTCTGGGTACAATGAACATTTTTGGCAAAAATGGGCGGGCTTGATATTGTGGGTGTGGCACCTTCCATATAAAGAAAATTTTAAATTGGTATAGCTGAGAAAATAAAACAGTTAGAGTGCTAAAATTTTGTCGGCATATGAATATTTTAAGACAAAAATGGGAGGACTAGCAATAGGGGCGTGGCACCTCAAATAGGAATGAAATACAAAAACTTGTATAACTTGGAAACTATTAGTGCTAGAACACTCAAATTTTGCACGGTCAACATTGAAATCCACAAGAGCAATTTGGTAAAAAAATGCCTATACTAACAATAGGAGGAGTGCTAGGTTAGGTTATCACAGATAGCCAAGTCTGGCTTTACTTGGGTCCAAGTTAATCCCTTTGTAAAAATACATGCAAGAAGAAAAAGAAAAATAGGAAAAAGTAGAAAAGAATATAAAGGAAAGCAAAATCGTCAAGGAGAAGAAACAGGCAGGATTGCACTGCAAGTTAAAAGACTTGACTGAAGGA